CACCTGATGGTCCACGAGCGGCCCGATGATGTCAGTCAGAGGGAGAGCCTACGCTTCATGAAGTCATAATGCGATCCCGGAAGAAAAATGCAAAAGGACCGCTGAGTACACTTACATTGATGGCAGCTTCGCGCTCGGCTGCCCCTTTCTTGCAAAGGGGGACGGGGACGTTGCTCACCATTGTCGGGCCACTGATCATCAGTTGGCCGACGCGGCGCTCCACGGTTGCGCTGTCCAAGCCTGTAGATCGAGACCAGAATTCGATAAGTCAGGAAGAACACGCACATAAGGTAGTCAATTTAACTAAAAATAAAAATACCCCGAGGAGAAACCTGGGTCGCGTCCTCCGGCCCAGAATAATCAAAGGCTGGGTGGGCTCGAGCCTGGAGCGGCTGGATCCGCCTACCAATGAAGTCGGCAACGATTTCATACCCCGACAACCACCGTACTCGGAGGTCATCAATGATATCGATGAAAGATTGGAGGAATGGGGTCAAGGCGGGTTTGGTGGTCCAAGATGAAATCTTGTCTGGTTGCTCCTTAGGAACAATGAAGACCAGATCTAAATCTTCTATCTGAAGATAGAACCACCTCCCCTGCCATTTGCTGCGAGATGAGGGGCACTGGAAGGGGATGTATCGCGACTTCAGGCCATCCCGAAGTCGGAAACCGACACATCCGAACACCTTTTTGGGTTCCATCTAGCGCAACTCATAGTAAAAGCGGAAGAGGTCAAGAAACGGCTCTACCCCAATGTAGGCCTCACAAAGATGCGAAAAGATACTCAGGAAGGCGATGGAATTGGAGTTCAAATGGAGCAAGGAAAGGCTGTAGAAATTCAAGACCAAGAGAAGAAATTCAGAAGGCGGAGGAAGAAAGCCACAGAGAATATAGTCCTCGATCGCAACCATGCGACCCAGGACAGGCTGGGGTTCAGTACCTCCTGCTTCTCTCTCCATGGTCCCGCGATCGGGAAGGGCGCCATCCTCCTGCAGCTTCTTCAGCGACGCGCTGGTGGAGGTAGACTTGTCGAGATCCAATGCCGCCGGGGATCGCCGGAGAAGACGAGGGACGCTTGGAGGCTAGAGAGTTTTTTCACAACAGGCGGACTTTAAATTGGATCCCCAAAACTCCCTTAAATAGACGCACTTCCGACGGTGCGAATTCCAAGGAAAGGAGAGAGATGGCCGCCGGAAATTTCTGGGTCCATTACGCGCGGCAGTTTTTCGGACTTCAATTTAAATTCACTCATGACCGTTGAGCTTCACCTGGCGTTGTCGATCACTCCTTGTCTCTCGATCCTCACACCGAGAATGACGACAACCTCGACATCAGAAGTCGCGATCGGTTTCACGAGTTCATTTAAGCAGAAGTCGGGGGCTACTGTCAGGGTTACGAGTAAGGTATACCCTCTACCCTTCGATATACGTCATATATCGATATGGTATACTTGCGCGTATACGGACGTTTTCGGCATACGTTAAGGAAATTCATTATGGAGTTCACAGATGGAAGGAGTCCTACTCGGATAGAACTGGGTCGTCATTGTATCGTACCGGGTCCGATGTCTCTGAGTCCTACTTGGAGACCAGTTGACCTGCGGTATAAAAGGGACCCCCCAGGAGGACCTAAGGCATCGAATCTTACCGCCAACACATCCACCACAGCCTACGAAGCCGGAGCCTACAGGAGCCAAGTCGCCGGATGATCTAGTCGAATCAACTTGACTACGATCTCGTCGGTATCATCGAGTTCCACTATTTCCTTTGTAATCTGTGGTTTCCATCATATAATCCCATATGAACTGGATTAGGGCTATTACCTATCAAGGGGCCTGAACCAGTATAATCTTTGTTTTATGCCTACTCGATGTCGTATTACGTAGATCCTCGTACCAGCGTACCCCAATACCCTCTATATCCGGTCTACGGGTATCCCCTGTCGATAACTAGTACTATGAGTCTGAATAGATGGTATGTCATAATTTGTAGTATTAGAATGCACCCCATGTTCTAATTTGTAGGTTACTATATTTTGAGAGTTGATGGACATACCTACTCACACTATTAGGTTGTGTTTAATCTTATCCTAAGTTAATTTATTTTGAAACACAGAGAGTACATTTTAATATCTATATCTATACCTATTTAAAAAATAGGTAAGACTTCGGGATGATATTTTTCGTAAGTTATTTATCTAGCGTTGTCACCACGCGCCAGAGTACTTCGTTCGTGTAATTTGGTTTGATCATGAGTCCACCGGAACAATTAATTATCCGGGCTTTGCCCTGACTCTTTCCAAATCAATCGATCTACATCCTAGGATACCCAGATACGGCTCACAAGCCACGTATCCATATCGGATACTTCATCGGATACGTATACGTATCAGATACGCTCCGATACGTATCCCGTACGTATCCCTAATTACCACGATATAAAATAAAGAAAATTACTTGGATACTTCTCTGATACGTTCCCAATACTTCTGAACTAACAAACCCACGCACGCAGCACAGAAGCGCAGATCGAATCCTCCTGCAGCGCCGCTTGCATCGCTACCAGGGGCACACTGCACAGGGCCTCCACGGGTTGGCCGCCGGGTTCCGCCGCCGCTCGCCACCTGAGGAGCAGGGCCTCCACCGCCAGCCGTGCGTCACGTCGCCACCCCTGGTCCCCTGGGCGCAGGGCCTCCGCCGTCGGTAGTCGCGGCATCTCCGTCACCAGGCGCAGCTTCTCCGCCGGCTACCAAGCCCAACGCGTACAGTCCATCATCACCGGCTATTTGGTTCTTTCCCCTTTTACTGGTTGTTTTGTTATGTGTTTTTCCTTGTTATTTAGATCCGGTGAATTTTAGAATTGGAAGCTTAACCACTTATCTAGCACTAGTATGTACTGCTAGCGCGGCTACAGATTCATCAGGGTCACTTGTGACCAGGCATGGGAGCATATTATTTACAAGGGGCAAGCTACATGATGAGCTTGATCTCCTGGGATAGTACTATTAAAAGATCTGGTGCATGAGACCTGTCTGGGATGTAGCTCTTTCAACCACATCGCTGGCTATGAATGCAAGCAGCTCTTGAACTTCTATTGAGTTGAACTTATATCCGGAACAAGTTTTATTCTAATTATCTCTAATGATGTCATGTAATTTGTATAACTCTATTTGCAGGCTTATAGTTATTTATGTGTTATGTTTTTCCTTTGTATTTTTTATTTTTTTAAATATATATAGACGTATCCCCGTATCGGTGTTTTTAAGAAAATGACGTGTCCTATCCCCGTATCGCGTATCCGTATCCCCGTATCAGGGTAACATAGTCTACATCTATGAATTAGGTTGTTCTCATGTGGGCTGGCTAGGCCTGTCTTGCACTGGGCTATGACACTTTCTATTTCTAAACCCCAAGGTGTGATTAATTACTTAATCTTCTAGGTCTAAGGTTAATTGAGTAATTATCCTTTCTTAATCTAATTTTGGTTCGATGGATCCATATAAGAGCATATTCAAGGCCTTGGTAGAGGCTTTTAGAAACTATTATCTTATCTTATAATAATAGTTGAGACGATAAAAAAAACTTACATAATTAATACACTAAAACAATATTTCATTTTTTTCTTTCCTTTTCTTCATTGTCATACAACGAAAATTCATTTTATAAGCGTTAAGAGTTGATATTAAGCCGTTGTAATGCGTAACAACACTATGTTTCTCTCTTTCTTACATGTTAGCAAAGTTACCTTGTTAACAACTATAAGAATCTAACATTGTACATGTCCTAAGGCGTTGTTTATTTCAGCTTAAGATTATTATAATCGATTATTGAGCCAGATTACTATAAGCTAGATTATAATAAGCCGGCATAGAATAAGCGGTTAGCTGTTTGTTTCTCTGGATTATTAGTTGTTTGTTAGCTGTTAGCCACCTAATAATTAAAAAAACACCTTTAGAGTGGATTACTATCTTATAGATTGTAATAATATATCGTAATGAGCTATATGTTTATTTCAGTTTACTCCTAATAATCCAGATTATAATAATAATCCAGATTATAATAATCCTAAGCTGAATCAAACAGGGCCTAAGTCTATTATTGGTTGGGTTGGTTGGGTTAATTAGCCTGCCAATGTTATGGTCTGATGCTAACTACCTTCATCCAACATCCTACTTCATTACATATCATTTCCTTTATTTATGCTCTCCATTCTGGGAATTATGTAATAAATGCTTACTTTATTTATGCTCTCCATTCAGTGAATTATGTAATGTAATATAAGTGGTTGTAGATTTTTTAAGCAAAGGCTAGGAATTTTTCTATTATCTAAAATATCATTTATTTATTTGTCATCTTACATACTTTAAAGAAATCACAGGAAACTATTCGTATCAAATTTCTTTTTTTTCACCAAGGACGATGGATCCCACGCAAGTTCACCGGATTTCACCCATTGCAATGCACTAACATATTTTTTAGTTAAAAAAGAAAATAATACATCTTAAAAGCATTAAAACATATTTTTCACAAAACCTTTGGTATAAACCCAGGTTTTACTATTTGTTTCATTGAATACCAGATTTAAGATAAAATATTTCATAAAACACATGTACAACATTATATCGTTTATTTAACTAATATATTTTAATCGATTATGGTTTGATTTTTTATGTATATATTTTAACCGATTGCCAGGTTGTTAACTATTAGGATTATCAAGTTTTATGAGTGCAAAATTGAGAATACATGAACGGTAGAAAATGCATGTGCACTTAAGAGCCCACTAATGTGAATTCATGTAAACTAATCATATATAATAATAAAATATGAGTATTTTATATAAATATAAGGTTTTAAATAAATGTTGTTTTAAAATATAAGGTTCCTCAAAATAAATCACAATAACTGAGGTTGTGTTACCTACGGATGCCCCAACACCTAAGATTTTGTGAAATTTACTCTTACCGTTAATTTGCTTCTTTGGAAATCTGCAAGTGTGAACTTTGAAGATGGATGCTAGTATGCTATCCAACTGCTTTACCAAAGAGCCAATAAGATGAGTCATTTTCATAGTCGGTAGCTGCTGATGAATAAACCTATACAGAATGAAATATCCCCTAAAATAACGGGGGTACACAAATAAAGGACATGGGGGTGTCTGTTCTTCTAAGCAAGGGAGAAGAGGTAGCAAACAACATAGCTACACATGCCTTTCTCAGCCAATTTCCATGCTTTTGAAGCTATACCTAAAAAAAACCCATCCAATGCAATAATAGCATTGAGTCTCACAAATATAGAGCATATCCAAGCAAAATTTCAAGATGACATCTCTTCAAACTTTTTTTTTTCTAGCTTCAAAAATGGGGAAAGAAAAAGACAAGATAAGAAGGCGATTGAATGATCATGCTGAAACCAGCCTCCACCACAGAACTATGAAAACTGAAATTGCATCCTTCAGAGGCCCCCCAAGGTGCTGAAAGCCTGAAATATGTATAACAAAAAAATGAAAAAAAAAAACTGGCTTATTAATATAGAGAACTATGGCCAATTACATGCAATTCAGTAATAGACATTCATGCAATTACAGAATTGTTTCTTTTACTAGCTGCCACATATCTTATTCCATGCACCTCAAAGTTATCCTTGCAAATTCACCATTTACTCTATGCAAGCTCTTAAATAATCGAGAGGGCAACCTTTCTAATACCTCTGTCAAGAAACAACAATAGATAAAACGGGAATGAATCGTGGACCATGGATTGCATATCCTACCACACTTTTTAGTTGTTTTTTTTAGATAAGGGTATTTTTGCCTGGCTTCTACATCCAACTGGAACTTAGCCCTGTAAACAACCCAATCTGAAATTCACTCCTATGGAGATTTGAACTCAGCACGTTGGGATGCTACTCAGGTCACTGCAACCAATAGGCTACATGCCCTCGCCCCACATTTTTTAGTATAGCAAAAATTTGAGTAAAAGGGTAGGCAGTTCACTTACATTCTTGAATACTACATTTGAACCACATCTTCACCAGCACTTGAATAAAAGAGAGCTAACTTTTATTTTCTCGTAACCATTCAACAAAATTGTCCAAAATAAGAGGCCAAGCAAGGTCTGAATCATAATTGTCAAGTGATGGGAAGTTTATCTGCAGTAAAAAAGGATAACATATCAGCAGTGATGAAAAAGAAATGTGTAAATTTGGTATGAGCACTTCAAAAGCATGTTTTAGCCTCCTGGAAAATGAAATAAGCAGGGAACAAAATAAGATGGTATGAAACATGACCTCATTGCAGAAACGAAGAAAGCCCATCCACTGGTCCATGTTTATCACCTTGTATTCACTTTGGTGCTACACAGTTTCAAAACGGTAAGCTGTTAACCATTAAAAGTCCCACAGAAGAAAGGGACCTACCTAATGAACCAAAAGTATAATCAATCAATACCTTGAGGTAGTTAACAAGTTTGTCAACCTGGGGGCGAAACTGCAACCCCAATACTAGATTCAGCAGCTCACAAGCAACTGGTATTTCTATACACTTCTTCTTATCCTCTGGCCAAACATAACCAAAGATAAGTTTTCTATGAAATGAAAATCAGTAAAGTGAGTAAAATATATCAAGCAATAATACCTGTCAGGCAGTAACGAAAGGCATATGGATAGAAATCCTGGAAATTTGATGGCCTTGTAACCTAGATTTGTAAAGCAGATTACATTCAATTACAATATAACCAAACTCATCATCACTTATAATGACAAAATTATTTTAATACAATCACAAGTTGCAACATTGGTTATCGCATAGGACAGTATTCCCTAGCAATAGCATGATAAACTTGCAAGCCTTGCTACTGAGATCCTATCCTAGAAAACTCTATATAGGACTAACCACCGGTAAAATATAGCATCTTCCAAATATATTTCAGTATCCATTAATATATTTGAAGTGAAAAAACTCACTTCTTGCACCAGTTCTGGAAATGCTTTCTTCAATTTGTTGATAGTATCAGCTCGCAGAGCTTTCAATCCTGACCGCCATTCATCCTGATAACAGAATTCCATCAGTCAACTCAAAAGGTCAGTATGACACTACTGGTAAATATTGGACTATAACAACTAAAACAGCGCAGAAACAATGCATACCAAAGTAAAATACCCTTGCTTTTCACACCCCATTTTCCTGATAAAAAAATATAAGGCTTTTTATTAGATATGTCAACCAAAGGGTTAGCATTTATCGAACTCTATAAAACAATGGCATACCATGCTAACATCAGAATCCGGACATCTGTATGAGGAACTTCAAGGTGAGAACAGAGTGTTTCGATGCCTTCTGGACTGTTGAAATGGACAAAAAAAACAACTTACTGAGCGTTCAGTTCATACGTGATTTCATCAGAGCAGGAAACAAAATATGTAGGCAAAAAATTGACAGAATAAAGTCGATATAATTAAGCCATTTAAACAAACCTGTATCCATTAAGTACAATAAAAAGCTTGAAGCATGATCTCAGGTAAAAGTGACAATCATTAATATGACAAACAGTCAAGAGTTAGGAGGTAAACCCACCGATACAAATATATTTGGAAGAGAAAAACAAGCATCCTTGTTAGCTGGAGTTTGATTTCAATTGTTAGAGTGAACTCCACAGCATATGTGCTAAAGAATCCAACTCATCATTGTGTTGAGTATGTAATATTCTCAGGGAATTAATCACATATTATGCCACGCCAATTCCCCAAATTCCCAAACGTCTATATTTATGGCAACACAAAATTAACTTGATCACAGTCGGTTAATCTGGCCCTTGGATATCATGTAGATTCGTGCTGCGGCTATCAATGCTTGCATTTAACAGTCATTTGATTTGCTAAGTCTGTAGCTATTCGCTCTGTACTACGACCCTGCTGCCCCTAGTTATACGTTAGTTTCTCATTGAATTTGCACTAGCATCTTCTATTTACATCTACTTACATATGTAATTTTGGGACTTACATTGTAAATACACTCACTAAAATTACATATGCAATGTAATTTAGGGAACTATTTTCTTCATGTTTTATATGGCGGCATAAATATAGGTAGTCCCATTCCCAAATTGTGCAAAATTAGTTGGTACATGTAACTTATGGTTCTACTGATTGTAGCCACCTAGCTATTACAATTAGAGTCATCATGTGTCACTGTATATGTTTGTATTTTAGTTGCACTTGAAATTTGAAACCATTTTGTAGAATGTTATGTCTGCCAATCAGCATCTCATTTTGTACTTAGCTGTCAAAATGCAGCAGTATCAGCAGTAGAGGACACTAAGATTGAAAATACTAGTTCAGCATTTTAACAAATTAGTAGAGCATGAAAGATAGCGCATCTACAAGACAGAAGATGGCCGTGATGAGCAGCAAAAAATAATGCTGGCAAAAGAGCAAACATGGGTAAAAAACATACTCAATCATGCCCGATGAGCTGTCAGCATAGGTATAGAAAAGTTGGTCGATCCGTTCAATTTCCTTTGAAACTCCCCTAGTTGTACCTGATATGATAATGAAAGCGTGTTAACCTAAACAGACATATTGTTTGCTGAAGATCACTGTATATCTCTATCTCTTAATGGTACGAAGATAAGACACACCATATATTATTATTGCAGAACTTGCGACAACAAAAGATATGCATGCATTTGGTAGTTATATTATTTCATAATAATAGCCTTTAAAAGAAACAAACTCAGGGAAACAAACAATAGCTTGACATATATCAGTTAGCTGAATAACATTACAACTGCTGCAAGATTTCACTAAACAAGTAGGAAGGTACATAAAAATGCTGCCAAGTCACATGCATATGCAAGAATTACTCCAGAGTTTAAAAATGAGTAATCCAAAACAGTCTGTAAAGGTAAGACCGACAACATATAATTCTGAAATGTCCAAGACAATATGTATTCACATATGTTTGTGTAGGAAGATAAATCATCCAGCCACACCCACCGCTACATTATTACACCCAAGATGGATAAATACAAACAATTAGATGAGTAATAACAGAAAGAAAAGGAATCAGTTCATCTCACCACATTGTGCTTTCCTGCTGGTCAGGTTTGTACTGACTCCTTTTCTTTTTCTGTTTTTTTTTTCATTTACTTGTACATCACCTAAATATAACCGTTTGTTTAGTATTCATTCAAGTATGTATACCCTCAGAAAGAGAACAAGGGATTTCCTAAGCTCACGCATTTGAAAAACAGGAAATTCCAACAAGAATGTCAACCCATAAAATGCATGAATCAAAGCCAGCTAAGACACAATTAGAGCTAGTGACAAATTTTACCAGGAACTTCCACTAACACATGATTGCACGGACAACTACCCAACCAGTCAAAACAGGCTTTTAAAGTAACATCATAGCATTGAAAACTCTTAAGGCAGTGAATTCTAGACATCATCTCATTTTTATTGGCAGCCTCTTCCAATCTTCAGTTGGCATCACAACTAATCGCTGATATTGGTGTTCATCTCCATTAATTTAATTATTTAGGGATAGCTTCTTCAGATAGAAGAAAGTTTTTGCACTTTGTTTTACCTCATAACACTTGAAGTGGTTCACATAAACTAACGTAATTGTAAATTTGCATCATGGAAACATAACGCAGACCGTAATATTTTATAAACAGCTCAATCTAGGCTTGCTTACAAACAGGTTCAGAGCATGGCCGGCCACCCTGCCAAATTTTATCAAGTTCACTACAAAAATAAATCCGTTAACCCAGGAGCAAGCCTACATCGAATTCCACATCCCCAATCTACACACGACCCCCATCCAATCCAATCTCGTACACGCGCGATCCAAACCCCAACAGGCCAATATATCATCAATCAACACGCCATCAACGCAGCATAAACCTAGGGCATGGCAGGGCAGAGTCCATCCATCATCAACTCGAGATTGGATCTTCCCCCGAGGAGAAGAGCACAGAACCGACCAAATCTCGCAGCAGGCAAAGCAATCGGGCCCCGGGCCCGGCCCGACCCGCCAGCCCCGATCATCTCAACAAATACGAGAGAGAAAGAGGGGGGAAACGGAGGATCCGAGGGCGGAGGAGGGCGTTACCGGCGGTGGCCGCCGCGGCGGACGACGACGACTTCTTCGAGGAGCGCCTCATGACGGCGCCGCGCCGCGCCCCCTCGGATACTCGGTTGGATCCCCCCTCCCCTCCCGGAGCCCTTCCCCACAGCAGCCTCCTCCTCCGCCGCCGCCGCCGCCTCCGCCGCCGCGCGGGTGGAACGCGCAGGCCTCGCCGAGCTCTCGGCTTCGGTTGCGAGTTTCGAGTTGGCTGTCGAGCAGAAGAGAGGAGAGGAGAGGAGGGAGGCGGAGGTGTGGGCGCAAGTGGACCCTCGACTCTTATAGGATTCGGCCCGGGGGCAGGCGGGCTGGGCCCCACGTGCGGGCCCGGCCACGACGATACCTGTGGGCCCCCACTGCTCCCCTTGGGTTTCCTGGATTTGGTTTTTGGGATGTCGAGAAATCGGATTTCCTTTCCTTTCCATTTCGCTTTGGGTAGCTGACCGGCCTTGTAACATCCATTAAAAGAAACGCGTTGACCATACTTGGAATGTCAAGAGGCTGGATTTGTAGATATGTATTTTTATTTTTTCGACCGAATTTTTTATTTGTAGTAATATTCTTTTCTAAAATTAATTAAATAGTAATTCTAAATAGGGATTCTGAGAAATAGGAAGGACGCTAGTTAGAAGAGCGTCCAGATGCGGACGCTTGGGAGAATAGCGTCCATCTTGATACGTGGTTTGTAACAGCGTCCAGCTGTTTGGGCCAAACACAGCATGGGCCTGCGTCCAGGTGCATGGGAGCACACACAGTAAAACATTTATCTAATCCAAATCTTTGAGCATCCACGTGGTGTTTACTGTGTAGGTTATAGTACATATAATTTGTTTAGAACGATCTTATACTAACAGATATTGAACAAATTTAGTAGTTAATATCGGTAGTATGCATATTGGCTTCGGTCCTTTAATAACGCAGTAGTCTTATAAATCTATGGATAGTTTGTAGCCATTTTCAACCAACAGATAATGTCAACGAGCTAGCTATCACGAAATTCCAGCAGCAACACGACATGACAACAATAGTGCAAATAAAAAAATCCAGGGTTTTTCCTCAATTGCATTAGCATGCATTTCATTAAATTATGGTGGATTATCGAATCATAAAAAAAAAGGTCGAATAGTATATGTACAAAGGAGGACGAAATCTCAAAGAGGAAACCAGTGAGAAAACTGAAAATTGGAAGGAAACATTGACATACCCCTAAATTACAAGAAAGGGCTAATTACACCTCAATTCAGTATGCAACAGAAAGAAATACCTATGCAGACTCCCTTCGTCAGATTATGCATTTGCCTTTTCTTCTGATGGTCAACCAAGCAAAGAATTTGCATTTGCCTCCATGTATGTGTTTGTAGGTAAGATATGTTTTTCTGTTGTACTAGGTAGTCACTCCAGATAAAGGTCCACCGCACTCTCACTGTTTCTATGACTGTTGAACCGTGCAAATCAGTTGGTAAATAAATATCTTGAAACGAATTTCAATCTGAAACAAAAAAAAATCAGTTACAGTGAAACGTCTAAATGTCATTCGATATAGTTCCCTGAATTTATATACAAAATGTCATTCTAATAATCAGTTTGTGGAGATGATAAACATGCAAAAGACACAGGAAGAGCCAAGCATCAAGGAAGAAACCGTGTTCACTAACTGAAGGTGAAGGGCAGCGCTAACCACAAACATAGCTCCGCAAGAACGATGGCATCTCGAGCATCAATGAGAACGCCGGTGGCTGCGCCTCAGCGCCTCTCACAGTCGAGTTGCCAACGGCCTCGCACCTAGGACTCTATGATCGACATCCTCAACCAGACAACGTGGAGGTGGGAGAACGGCGTCCGCAGACCGCAGCCTATTGGCGTAGTGCCGTAGTCAGCGTGGAGACGACGGTGACGGCCGCCTCTCATGCTTTCACTTAATCCCTCCCTGATACTACGGCGGCGGTGGCCGTGTCGCGAGTGTGCCCTACGAGGCTGATGAACCGATCATTGATCAGTTGTTGGCCTTGGGTCGTAGCGAGGGAGGACGTTGCTTTAAACCGCGTCCAATCTTGGACGCTTTACATAACAACGTCCACATCTGGACACTAATAGGGAGGGAGTCCTTCCTATTTTTACAAATTGTAGTTTAGATTTACCACTTATTTAAATTTACTATTAATAATTATTATGAATAAAAAAATCGGTTTTTTCGAGCATTCGTATTCATGCGTTTTTCTAATCTAGTCCTCAACAAACACTCGTGTTAAATAGTTTGATTTAGTTTATTGAGTCGATCATTATCATGAATTATTTATTTAACTATAGAATAAATTTAATAATAAATAACCTAAAATAACTATTCTACTATGTTTGTTTTTGTAAGTAATATACCGGTACAAAATAAATTGTATTTTTCGGAGCACGGAGCACATAATCCGTTTCAGTAATCCGAAGAATAATCTGAAAAGAACACGGCAAGTATCAGCTGAATCCGGATCTCAAATCGACCTAAACGTAAGCCAGCAGGCCAGAGTCCAGACAATCGTCTGCTGCTGGCTGCTGCACGCGAGGTGCAAGACCAGAGGCAAAACAGAATTCTCCAACAGGGGGACAACCAGTATGTGACTTGGAAGAAGAAGCAACACAAACCTTGACTTCCTTTCAGACGTGAACACGTATCCAGTTGGGATACGCCACGTTGCCGAGTGGACCAGCCAACTTTGTTGTTGACTGCGATGTTTTCTTTTCAAGACCTCCTGGACTTCTCTTGACCAACTATTTCAAGACCTTTTGGCCACAAACTCCATGTCCACAAGTACCTTGGCACAGCTAAACAGACTCCACAATTGTGAAGTGGCAGCATGAGAAGTCCAGTAAGGCTCACTGGGAATCCTTCGGTTGCTGTCCCCAAACTGGAGATAAATAAACGCTCATTTCCTCTATTTGTATGTACGACAGCATCATGTCTGTAATAGGTAATCTGTACATGTGAAATTGATGCTACCTTCTTTTTTACAAATGGTATGCAACCACAGATAATAAAGAAAATTGCAGAAAAGCAGATCTGCCAAAAAAAATCCCACCTTTTCTGTGGGAGAAAAGGATAATTGAGCCAAGAAATATAGAACTGACTTTAGATGGGTACTGCAGAGTCGGGATTCGCACGATTTAGGCGAACTGTGCCAAGAATGTATTCAGGCAGCTCTTTCTCTTCCTTTGCCTGAAAACATGAAACATATTAGCACTCCTGGTGTTACAGTCACATCTGCACCCCTGACTCAACAAACCCCCAAAAAATACTCTTTTTCATTAGAGACCGTGAACATTGTTAGTTGAGTAGACTCCTACATGAAATCAGAGTCTTTAACATTTGCAAGCAAAGAGTGGAACTGAAGGCTAGGCATATGCCAGATATGGAAAATACCATACTGAAAAGGCGAATTAGCCTTAGAAGGGGGTTTGCATTGAGATGCGCTATAAAGCACACTAATAATGAGAAATTGTACTGCGATAATGTCCTTTTGCTCTCAAATGTTGGGCAGGGGTGGACACAATCGACGCAAACCGAGCAACCAAGCCGAATTAATCGAGCAAGGGAAGTGCTTTAAACATTTATTTGTGATTTCTTTGATTTTTTGGATCTCCTGAATTTGGTCGGTCACTTTGGTCATGACCGAAGAATGAACCGAAATGACCAAAACCGAATAGTTCGGTCTTCATTATTTTGTAATGCATTTTTGTCTTCATTTTTAGATGACGGAAATTTTCAATAGACAGAAAGACCAAACCAAAATTTTTGATCTGGCTGAATGGCCACCCATAATGTTGGGAATCTCCAATAGAGTAAATACAGGATGTTGTGCAACTGCTGTTACGTTACAATCGGGGTTGCACAGGATGTCAGAAAATCAACTATTGTTCACACTATTGAACTCCAATAGACACTTTAGTCTTAAAGCTTAGCTAGAAGTAATGGAGGTATTTGTAGAATCTTTATTTGTTTAAATCCACTTAGAAATAGGAAATATATGAAAAACAAAAAAGCAAACTGTTGTTTCAGGTCTGATTTTGCAGGTTCATACCTCAATTAGAATAGCAAGATCAACAACAAGGCCTGTGACATATCCCAGGACTAGACCAATAATGCTCCGTGCAACGGATGAAGAACCAATGTCAACATCTATCTGCAAAGTAAATTTTACTTGTAAGGTCACCGAGGATTTTTTTAAAAAAAAATTAATATAATATAAATATAGTACTCGGTTTTTTTCCCAATTTAAAACAATAAAATTATAAAATTGAGAGATTCCCGATTATGCAAATCTTTAAGTAGCTTGAGTTCAAATTTGAAGCCACCATGCACAGTAGTCCTTCCCTCTGCTTAAATAGATATTTCAAAAAGGTTCAAGATTCAACAAAGCCAAAGTTCACTAGATCACCTCTAGAAAGTTATCCTGGCGAAGGTAATTGCATGTTACTGCTTTTCCCAGAAGACAAGCTTTTGTTCCAACTGCACGTTTTACCATCCAATAACCCTGAGATCATTTATAGTTCAATTCACATCAAAAGTTTGACTTATCACCAGTTTCACAAATCAATTCACATGCAAGATAATAAGAAACATAAATTAAGTAATGCATACCTCAACAATGCTTGGTATAAGTTTAAATCTGGCATCTCGGAACGCATCGGTTCCATCAATGAATCTTCCCAACAGAGAATCTTTATTCACGGGCCTTTCTGCTGCGTAGTACATGACCAAGTTATAGTTTGGCTTCGCTGGAACCTACATGTTTAAGAGTTAATATACTATCCATCCTGATCATCCATATAACAAAGATGATATCCTCCTCCAATCAAATAAAATGTGATAGTGTGGAACACAAAAATATACTAACAAATTAACTGCAAACTAATTTCCGATACTGGAAGAAAAAACTACAAACCTAGTTTCCAGAGCTTATGGTGTTAAGTCGTTGAGATTTTCTGAATGATAAAATATTGTGCATAGAAGCTCAGAGCCATTAGATAGTAAAGACATGGTGTACATGAGACCCCCAAGGTCACTTCCAATGGCCCGGTTTCATGAACCAACCATTCCCTTTTGAGCCCACATTCATGTGCAAACGACATCACGTTAATGAGAATAGTGAAAATGATGGTACACACGAGAGTTTACCCAAGTCTATCAATAACTTGGTAGAGGTTACCCATGTGTTTCATGTGAAATTTGGTACATGTCTGCATGTACAGTATCTCTGAAGGACA